AAAGTTTAACTTGCAGCTTCCCCCGCCCCCTCCCAATTTGAAAGAGCCCCAATATCGGAAAAATCACCTCCCTCACCCCAAATTGACCCGTTTTTCCCTTCCTCCCTCCCTCCCTGAGCCCTCACAGGGTTGTGACAGTGGTGCCGGACCCGGGCCCCGACTGCAGGAGCGTCAGGTAGACACCAATATGGGGGGGTTTTATCTTGGGGGGGGGGTAGGACAAGATCCCCGGAGGAGGGGACACCTCCACCCTTGGAGGTACCAAACGCACCCGGGCAGGACCCAGAGCCACCCAACGCGGTGGAGCCAGGCATGGTCCAGAGACCCCTGGGGTTCCCCCCCAACCTACAATTATTTTGATTATTGCCTCCAGCTTTTTCCAGTCAGATTTCATCTAGAAAATCCTCTTCAACTCCACGTTATTCACACCACCCTGAGCTTTATTTCCATTTATTGATTTTATTTTCTCCCCCATGAATCTGGGTGGGAAGATGGAGGTTTCCTCCCACTCCCGCCTCCCTGCCATCGCCTCCATCCCAGCTCGTGTCGTGATTTACTTCTTCTGCTTCTACATCCACCAGCTGGACTGCGGTGAGGAGCTCCGGTGCTTCTGCTTCTTCCACCGCATCCATCCATCATTAGATATTCCCCCTCCCCACCCCCGGCTTGTTGATATTACGCAAAAGGTGGTTTTTACAAGTTGGGGGGGATAAATAGCAAGTTCTGGGGGACTCGTGGGGAGAAGTGACCTGCCAGGAGGTGGTTGTTTGGAGATCCACCATCCCCATAGGTGAAGCTCAAGAGCTAGCTCAGCCCTAGACTACTTGCCCAAGGTCCATCCTCCAGCACTCCTGTGCCCACAGGATCTGTCCTTTCTCCCTCCATCGTTTCTCCTCCACCATTACTGTAACTTTCAGGTGTCTTCTTCATCCCACAAGACCATTCGCACCTCATCTTCTTGGGGTACTTTCCAGATCCATCTGTGACAGCAGCTGGGTCCTCACCTCCCCTCCCCCGCCCCCCATGACATCCTGTCGCTCTTGGTTGATGGTTGCCACCATGAATCCCACCAGAACCCTTAAAAAATGAACTCCATCACCTGCACATCCAATGTAGCAGCAGAACCTCTTGTGCCATGTGTCTTCTTCTCACCCGCCACCTCTTCCAGCCCAGTTCAGGGTCCTAGGACCCAACCACCCCATCACCACTGTTGTGGGAGAAGATGTTGTGCTGCCCTGCCACCTATCCCCCAGGCTGAACGCCGAGAACATGAAGGTGAGGTGGTTCCGGTCCCAGTTCTCCATCTATATCCACCCCTACCACAGCGGGCAGGACCACTACTCCTCCCAGATGCCCAAATACCAGGAGAGGATGGAGTTTTTAAAAGAGGGCATCTCTGTGGGGAATGTCTCCTTCAGGATCCTCAGGACCAGGCTGAGCAATGAGAGACAATACCAGTGTCTCATCAAGGATGGGAATTTCTATGAAGAAGCCATGCTGGAGCTGAAGGTGGCAGGTAAAAACCAGGAGTCAGGGTTGTCTACGAGATGGACCTCTGGCACATCCCATTTGACCACCACAACTCAAAAATGACTTTTGGTTTTCTCTGCTTGGTAGCCCCGCTCCTTGTGAGCATCTCCTGACCTGCACAATGTCCACTGTCCATCACCAAACCCCTGAAACCTCCCAGATACAGCACCACCACCCTCTAACCCAGGAGA